CAAAGCGTTTGTGAAGACCACTCGAGAGTTMCACAGTRCAGYSTGAAAAACGATACAGAATAAGCTAAGCCTTGTGTCATATTATTATCTTTCTGTATTTTTTAGMGCATAATCTTAGGTTTCATTTGATTTTATGCATTATTTGCTTACATTATCAGTGTGATTTCTGATAATTTATAGACCGTGACATATCTTATAAGATCTCCATTGATTTTATACATAATTTGCTTAATTGAGCAGTGATTTCTGATGTATTGGTCGTTGATATTTTGGATGGTGTATCCAGCATGGTCGGCAGTCTCAGGTAGGTTTTTGTTCATTGTAAAGGAATATAACTAAAACAAAATGGCCAGRACAACCTGTTTTCTTATCATTGTATTAGGTAACATTCGAGGTGAAAAGTTATGCACTATGAACATGCAATTTAAAAATTAATTTGCAAAATCTACATCGACCCTTAGACAGTTAAAACAGAGCAGTGATTAACAGAAGAGAAATTGCAGTTGAAATTGCTTTGTCTCAGAACTTGACCCTGAGTAGCAGTCAACTCGGTTGAACTCTACTCGTTATTGCTTTCTACATGTTATAATTTCTTTTTTCTTGATATAAGTTAATGAAAAATCATAAACGAATTATTTTGGGATTTATTTTCTTAGCTGCTACTAATTTTTGAATTGATTKATAATTCTAATAAAGTTTTGACGGTTCTAAGCAGGTGTCTAAATTCGAGGAACGAGCCAATGAATCTTATATTATTGATTTAAGTATAATTTGTTACAAAATAAAGAGTCATTTGGTATCACAATTTTCTAAAAAAGATAATAATAATAATAAATAGTAATAATAAATAGAATCAGTAGAGTTCAAAATGGCGGACGTGTTTCGGTGTAATAAAATTCTGCTTATTTATTCCTTATACGAATATGAAGATTCTTATGTAWCTGAATCATTTATTCCTATTTTGAAATTGTACTTTTTAACAATTATCCGTCAATTTKTTATGAGAAAAAGCTTTCATGATAAGATGCTACTAGTAACCTGTGTACATCCCTTCTCACCCCTCCCCCTAAACAAAGTCGGGGAGGGTGGGAGCGGTTGGRCACAGGTTACCATAGTAAATAAATGGCACCTTGTCGGTCTTTGTTAATTAAATGACGTCTGACATGTTTTACAAATGACGATTCACATACATATTTTCAATTCTATAAAAGCAAACTGCTACAAAAATCTGACTTACCATAAAATGCAGTTCACATTCAATGGCAAGTTTCTTGTTCACCATACCTTCGCAAGCATACCTTCCAAGCAAGAGATCGAATGTCCGCTGTATTGTCATCGAGATGATCGCTGTATCTCGTATAGCTTTGACCAGCATCGGTTTGTTTGTAATCTGAGTGATTCGGATCACACCATGCACCCCRAGGACYTGGTGAACACACCTCATGCTATCTACAGGAGTATAAAGGTATAAAATTATGTATAATYTATCTATAAAATMCGTAAAGTTGTTATTTTCACAAGTGAAAATCAACACATTCGAGGTTTCTCTATATAGTGGAAGAAAACAAGGTATTTTAAGAAATAATTTGCTTTCATATATATAACTATGTGATAAACAGAATATTACATGGTCGTTTGGAGATACGAATTTTATCTTCTCGTCTTTTTATAATCTCTCACAAGTGAGTGTACTGTGTCTTTTAAAATCATGCTTTCATTAAAACAGCTGCAGTCGTCGACTATTTACTTAGAGGTTTTCATAGAAAGATGCTCATTACGCTTTCGCAACGGAAAAAGTGTGTAATTTAACAATTCATTTATATACATGACTTGATTTGATACTTTGAAGTTTTACTGACTTTGTGGCGTTACAAACTGAAATCTTTTGCAATTCTCACGAGCCACTGTTTGTTTTTTGGAACATCCAGTTTCCGCGTGCGTCTATCGTCTTCAATTCAACTACTCTTATGTTTGATTAAGGATCAGTAATGCTTGATAAAGGATAATAAATACAATACCCTTAAGTGTGCTTCAAAGGTTATATGGTGATTTTTATTAATTTTTATTGTATTTGTCTTCATTTTAAAGTGGTACACTTTTTTCTTTGATGTTCCCTTTATTGTCGCCGCCTTTCATAACGGGTTTTTGAAAACACTCTATTCTGACCAGAACAGTATCTTATTAAACAGTGAAACATTTTTTCTAAATGACAGCATAACTGTACCTGCACTAGTAACAGCCTAAGACGTAAGATCTACAATAATGGCACATATCGATGCGATTGCAAACCTGGATTCACTGGAAAAAATTGCGAAAATAGTAAGTGAAATTATTAAACGTCACGTGAAGTAGGCCTTAGGGAATAAAGGTTTATATTAAGACATAAAAGGAAGTAGAAGCCGACATAAAAGATACGGCAAAGGAATGAAAATAAGCGTGAACCGGTCCTTAGAGGTCCGGAGGGCAACATAAATGTATAAGTAACTTAATGATTTTTTTTTTGGCTCTCTGTGTATAGGAATATTTTCTTCTTGTAAAGATRTTTTCAACAAAACCAGGTGAGACAACATCCTAGAAAGACAAATTGCACAACTTCTATCTAAACTTCTCTGAACATTATTGCCTTTTCTATAATTATGTTTACCTGTTTCCAATCGGATTACCTTGTTCATTGTAAATACTTCTGCCAGGCATCAATCAGTGTCGCACACACAACTGGAACCTCGTACCCGTTAATACTTTTCCTTATATCATTTATTAATTTTTTCCTTTTTTGGTCTCCATTTTTCACACCCCGATAATGGGCGACCGACACCCTCCAGTTCCTGAAAGAATTTCTGGATCCTCATTTACACCAATTTTAACGYTAGCAACTCGTGGCCATCATAAGTGTGATTTCCTTTCCGATATTTCCACTGTCGAACCGCACTGTTTGCCGGATCTTAAGCTTTCCTTGTTTTACATGTACTTTTCATGATACAGATCAATAAAAAACAGTGTATACCAGATTCAAACCAACAAAATGATGACTAAAGTGTACTGCTATATGGAGGATATCCCTGGGTGTGGCGGAGGGGGATGGACGACTGTCATAAAGACTGATGGGAGCAAGGTAAACTCCTCCTTAGACAATGAAATACTCATGCATGTTGTATCATCATAACAGCGCAAACAACAGCATCGACAAACATCCAAACCCACAACAAACAACACTTGCAACATCCGCAATGAATTTTTAGAACTTGTAGCACAATTTAAGTTACTTCATAGACATTTCCCACACTCGCTTGGATAAACACGAAACAATGGCTTCACCTTTCCCAAGATGTTGGTTTTGCGGAACCAAAGCGAGGTTTTGGCTAGGTCACAACATTTTGTTCAGAATAGATGTAGAAAATTGCTGTGCAAACAATAACGTTACGCTTTGATAATCATGTTTTGGCTGCAACGTATTTACTACAAACTCACACGGTTTCAGATAGAGTCTATTTCTGTCGAATACCATATTTAGGCACTGCATCCACAGTTTTCATAGTGATTTATCTTTTGGTATTTTATGAAAAGTCCTTCGACGATGATTTCTGAATAGGCATGACAAAGTCGATACAACTTTTGCATTTGATTTCTTGCTTGCTCAGCAATTTTCTTCATGCTTTGTGAATCCGTGGAAACTACAGAACCATCATCTTGGGAAAAGGTCATTGGAACTGTTATTGAACTTTTACTTGCTAGACAACATTTGGCTATAGTTCATCTCTATGGACCAACAAAAGCCCATATGGTGTTGCCAATGGTCAGTCAGGAATTGATGATAGGGAAACTAAACTCCCTACATACTGGACCCTCTCGTTTGACAAACTTTGCTTTGGAATGAAGACCGCTGGCCAGCATGGACCGAATTGGATTCTTATGAAATACAAGTGAGAATTTAAATGTTCCAAATCAATGTTTATCTAATGTTTTTTTTTCTTTTGTGACTCATTGTCTTAAATAGAAAAGAAAAATCCATCGTGACCAGCTTCCATAATAGCCTGATTTTCAGACAGGCCTGGGTCCGACGCCAACGCCGGTTTGGGGTGGAAAGCGTTAGGCGTCGGACCAGGCTGTCTCGAAATCAGGCTACTACCATAAAAATAAAAGGGAGAATCTACGTAGCACTCAGTTGATGTAATATATTCATAAAGATATAATACAAAACACATAATACAATAGAACGAGAAACAATGGAATACAATACATTTTATGAATACATTACATCAACTGCGTGCTACGTAGGTCACCCCAAAAATAAAAATTCTGAATTCCAGGGCAAGTTCGYTGTACTCTCTGATCGCAGACAACACATATCGTAATATCGCTATTGGTCGAAATAAGTGGCTGTCACTCATCGCTGGCTCCTCTTTGCAGCAGAATTGTAACAAAGAAGGATTTAATCTAATTGCTGGATCAAAATATCACACAAGACTAAGGATCGGTGTTTTTGCAAACGATCAGAGCGATTGTGGAACAGTCGACTCTTTTGTGGGATTTGGGGCCAAAGGTTACGGCTGTACGGTGACCACGGGGAACTGTGGCTGGRGCAATGCAGACAAAGGACATACAAAAATTGCAGTGTATGGCATTATCTTGGCCCAGTGAAGTGCAGACATTTTAAGAGAAGTGTCGATGGTGGTGGACTTGGCGAATTAGTTTAATGGACCTTAAAGACTATCACTGAATTGTTCGTTTTTGTATTCGGTATTCTTGTRAACTGTTGATGAGTAAAACATCAGTTATTTCAAATTTAGAGAATTAATGACAGCAAACCTGATTGGACGTGTTGCGTCCCAATAATGCTTGATTTTATCGAAATCTTATAAAATGTTAAAAAATGCATGTTATGATTTTAATATATGATTTGTATAAGCTCTTTGTAAATACAGAATAGAGCAAATGTAGGAAAACCATGAAATAAAATCAACTGAACTAAATATTAATAACAAATAGCCACTATTTAGAGACAAATTGTCAGTATCAATATGAACAAGAACGCAATAAAGATAAATGAAAAATGGTCCCATGTGGATTCATCTTCATTGTGTTCTGTTTCATTGATACTGACAAACTGTCTCTGAATAGCCGCTATTWGTTAGTATTTAGTTTGATTTTATTTCATGGTTTTCCTGCGTTTGCTCTAGTAGGTTGGATGAATGAATGTATCAGGATGCGTTGCAGGCGTTCATCTTWTATGAAAATCAGAAAGAGATACATGAAATTTAATATTTACATTTAATGCTTACATGTAAAATAATTATTTACAAATGATAACTATGGCTTTTACAAGTACCATGAATATAGAAGGTGAAAATATTACCATGTAGCTAAGACTATGTGTACAAGAACAGACTAAAACATAGTCATTCGAATACGCTGTAGGAAACCATGTGTACAATCCTACCATAAGCCAAAACCTCGCTCTTTAATTCGTAATAGTACGCCATAAGTTGGGGGCAAACTACATCATATCGAGTTCGCGTCTTGGTACTGCTCTAGACCAGCGGACAGAGCAACTGATTCCGATGCTTGCGAGCCAAACTCGACCGTGAGTATGTCGAGGGTATTGCCCGTGTTGCCAGTCTCGTCATCAGGAGAGTTGGTACCGAATCTCTCAGAATACGCTCGAGCCGACGACATCACAGACGATGTATTCGTCTCYTCTTCATCTTCCGAGTCAACAGATTCTGTTGATTCCGTTTGCTTATTKCCGCTGCTTGCGTTGACAGTCAGAGAGACGAATGATGCGTCGTACCCTAGWGGATAYGACGACGCACGCTTTTGGCCATGTTTTGYGCTGTCACGAAACCCGGCAGAGTTAACGTACCTGAAGTTTATAAAAATTGTACCATTCAAAAAAATGGAAAGGTCATTTTATCTAGCTCTATCCACAGGCAACTCTWTGAAGAGCGGAAAACTGAGATGYCTAAGAAGGAGCCTTAATTTAATCAATTGTTGCAGTGAAGATATTACAAACGACAGACCGTAAGTATAAGGGCAACTGACTTTACCGACAGATGAAAATGGTCTATCATTTGATTGYCATATTTCTACAATTCTTCAAATATCCAAAAGTTATTGGTTGAGCCTGGTTAATATAGGAATACTTTTAAAAGGTTATTCCCAATTAACGGCCAGTGAATGTTGCATTTTTTWATYCMYYYTWRGRWAMAMCKKTYYYCCYTTYMMTTWWTTWAWWWTT